ATTTAATTTTATATTAGCATATTTTTTTTTTATAATCGTGCTGCTCAAAATACCTGGGATTTTCCCAAAATAACCAATGAGGAAATAATGAATAAAATAAGGAAAATAATAATTAGATTTTCATAATGATCTTTTTCTTCTCAAACCTTGTCTGTGGTGTAAAAACACCCCTGGCCAAATGCCCCCAGAGGGCATCACTTCCCACTTTGATAATTACTGTAGTTACCATGAATGTATATTTTTAATGTTAACTTAAGACCTTCAGCTAAAATTACTACAATGCATTTTTTTGTTTGGGGATAATTATTGGGAAGCAATTTGTTGAGTCAATATTTATTTGTCAGTTCCCACAATTTTTCAAAATGTAATTTTTTTACAGTGTATGTGCTATTGTGCACATACAGAGGACACATTTACTTTATAATAAAACATTAATTTATAACATGGCCAGCAATACACTAAGTGCCTGATGGGAGGGGAATTTAGTATCAAGTGAAGTGTTGCCAAGTATGGTAACTTGGCGTGGAGTTGATTGAATGAATTTCATGTACAAACTGATCAGGTTGTGGGTCAAATTGGAGGACACATGAAAATGTTTGTTTACTCTTCTTCAAACCCACAGTACAAAAGAATCATGTAAAGTACTGTAAACCTTGATATTATTGTTTGTGACATTAGCATACAACATATAAATTTAGCAATAATATATCAACATTGTTTTTATTTAATATAACATTTTCATTTCATTGACAATATTATTAAACATGGACCCTTACTTTCATTAAAAAGGCTTATTTCTGCTATGGCGTGCTCGTTTTATAAATGTAAGCTATTAATTTAAATTATAGACAAGTGCAAACTGGGTGCTTAATGCAAATGTAATTGGCTACATTTACAAAATCAGGATGTTCGCCCATCTATGCAAATGTGTCTTTATGTATAGAGACAAATGAGGTTGATTAATCACTGTCTGTCACGTCAGTTTATAGTGTAAATGTAAGCTATTAATTTAAATTATAGACAAGTGCAAACTGGGTGCTTAATGCAAATGTAATTGGCTACATTTACAAAATCAGGATGTTCGCCCATCTATGCAAATGTGTCTTTATGTATAGAGACAAAAGAATGAGGTTAATCACTGTCTGTCACGTCAGTTTATAGTGATCGTGTATATATTTGCATAAATATTTGGTGCTTTTTTGATGATTTTGATGATGGCGTCATCACTAGCGCGCGGTCAGTGTTGCCAACTTAGCAAATTTGTTGCTAAATTTAGCAACTTTTCAGACTACCCTAGCAACTTTTTCTTCCAAAAGCACCTAGCAACAAATTTAGCTATTTTAAAATTTTATTTGGCTACTTTTAGCAATTTTTGATAAGTGACTCAAACAATAAAAAGGCACACATTTTCCAACAAAATTACACAAAAAGAGGCTATTTTTAAATTTTATTTGGCTACTTTTAGCAACTTTTGATAAGTGGCTCAGACAATAAAAAGGCACACATTTTCCATCTACATTTCACAAAAAGAGGAAACCAAAGATGCCTAGCAGTACACACATCACGTGAATTAAGTTACTGCTATTTGCAATTGTTCAATTTGATAATAATAATAATAATTTTAATAATTGTTCATTTATGATACACCTTGTTAGCAGCTTGTACCTGTGATTGTTGATCAGTTAGTACACTGTAAGAAAAATATCTAGAAAAATGTAAAAGGTAGTAATTTTCCAGGACATTATCCGTTATCCATCATCCGTTGTAACCCGAAACACAAAATACAATGCGTAATTTAAAATGCAGGTAAAAACCTGTGATTTATTTTCTTAG